TCAAAAAAAAAAAAAATATTATGGAGGTACAAAGGTTTTTGTTACATGGAATAGCTTTTGTAATGTGTAAGTCAGGGCTATAAGTGTGCTCATCACCCAAATAGTGTTCATTGTACCTGTTGGGTGGACTTTTACCCCTTTTCTCCTCCCCCTCGCCCCTTCTTGATTTCCAATGACTTTTACTTCTGTGTCTGTGTGTGCTCACTGACAGTTTGAAATTATTAGAGGGTACATAGGGTATTTGTTTTTCCATTCTTGAGATACTTCACTTAGGATAATGGTCTCCAGTCTCATCCAGATTGTTGCAAAAGACACATTAATTCATTTCTTTTTATGGCTGAACAGTACTCCATGGTGTATATATATATACCATATTTTGTCAGATTCTTAAAATGTAGGAAAAGGGTGTGTCTTAAAAATTGCGTGTATGCCTTAGATATTACTGCACTCTGCTTCTCTTCCCTTAATCAATATATTATGAAAGCTTCTCCTTGCTAGTTTTCTTTTTTAAAGCTCTACCTCATGTCTTTATAACCAGCTGTATAGTTTTATATTTTATTGGTAAAGGCAGGCATCACACTCTAATTTTGAAATCTGTTCTCAGTGGGGAAGGATGTAGCAACGCATTTTAACCCATGTTGAGTTTTAGGTATTCCTTTCAAGCTTTGTTACAGCTAACTTTTTTGTTAATTTTTTAAAAATGTATAAATTAGGAAGTGGGTTTTGAGTTCCAGGATGGGGGAATTAACTCTATTCTTATAACTTACATCTAGATTAAATATTCCTGTGTACATTTTCTGTTTTTATTTTTATACAGGGTATGTAGAACCAATGCAAACACTCAATGATGTGTTAGCACAGCTAGATGCTGTTGTCAGCTTTGCTCATGCGTCAAATGGAGCACCTGTTCCGTATGTACGACCAGTCATTTTGGAGAAAGGACAAGGAAGAATTATATTGAAAGCATCCAGACATGCTTGTGTTGAAGTTCAAGATGAAGTTGCATTTATTCCTAATGATGTATACTTTGAAAAAGATAAGCAGATGTTCCACATCATTACTGGTAAAGAACTTAGTTTATGGACTTTTTTGGAGGAGTGGGGGTAACATTTTCCTTTTTTTATGTGGGAGTAAAAGTATATTTTAAATTGACCAAGAAAATCCCAGTCCTTGACATTAGAAAAAGAACATGTTATTCATAACAGTTAGTAATATATTCACATTTGGATTAGAGGGAAGATTTGGAAGGTGGGATAATAAGCTTATGAGAATATTGTAAGCACAGAAACTTCTGTTCCAGGAGTTTAGCGTGTTTAAAAATGAACATCCCTTTACCCTCAAAGCTTTCCTTTGAGCCAGTCATTTCAATGGTGCAGTCATTGAAAGTCAGGCAGTATTGGCTACTGGAGGACCTCAGCTTAGAGTAGGAATTATTTTAAGACATGGCACTATATTCATGTGAAACTCAAAAAAAGTAGCCTTACATATAGACTAATGTAGCATGTCTCAGCTGAGGTATTTTCAGAGATTTTAACCAGATTCTAGGAAAAAAAAAAGAAGTAGAAGTCTTTGGGCAAATATGTTTGAGAAAGTCAGTGATTGTATTTTGTTCCCCAAATGGGTTTTCAAGTTGTTCATATAATCTAACCCCAACAAATAAATTGCACATTTACCCTAAAGAAAAGGGTCATGTCTTAGGGCTTTAGTGTGGGGTTTAAGTGATTTGAAGAATTTGACCGTACTGCTCCATTCACTAGTAACCCCATTTACTAATAAGTAATGGGGTTGAGTTAATTTGGCTTATGCTGCTTTTCTGGAAGTCACTAAATTATCCTATAGGCAGCTCTGTGAGCCATGGGAAAATGTATGTGTGGTCTTTCTGGGCCATAATAAAATTATAGGTAAAGTATATTTTTCATTGTTCCTCTGGATGAAAAGCCCAGTGTTGATTTGTCTGACGACATAATAATAGAATTACTTTTAAGGGCAGTAATTTTGTTAACATTTTGGGCAGCCTGTGGTTTTGTTTCTGGTGTGCGGTATCAGTGTGACCTAGGTGAGACATCATTAATGTACAGTTTAGGACTAATAATCCGTTTATTAGTAGCAGAAAGAAATTAAAAATCTTGCTTTTTGATATAATTTGTTTTATAGGCCCCAATATGGGAGGCAAATCAACATATATTCGCCAAACTGGGGTGATAGTACTCATGGCCCAAATTGGGTGTTTTGTGCCCTGTGAGTCAGCAGAAGTGTCAATTGTGGACTGTATCTTGGCCCGGGTAGGGGCTGGTGACAGTCAATTGAAAGGAGTCTCTACATTCATGGCTGAAATGTTGGAAACTGCTTCTATCCTTAGGTAGGTACATGTCCCAGTCCTCTGAAAATGGAAATATATGTCTGTGTCCTGTGAGAAGTACATTTGCAGATTTATCTGTAAGACATTTGAGAAGAGTTATCTTAGTTCAATCATTTTCCTGTGAATTTTATGCACTTTATATTATCTTAAAAGGGTGATTGGTGATAGTTTTAGAAAACTCTGATTTTTAAAGTTGTCTGTTTAAGGTATCCGGTCGTAGCACCTTATAAATCTTCTCCACTACCATGCTTTTGCTAGCATTGTTCACACTACCTGGAATGATCCTTCTTACCCTTTACCCAAGTTCTGTCCAATCTTTAAATCCCTAATGACAATTCTAGTTCTCTGATAATTTTTCTCTGAATTCCTACTCTTTGACATGCCTGTAACTTATTAATTCTTTAATTTAGAGGTTACTGAAATGTTTTGTCTTATTTCACTTTTTAGGAGGTTCCTTGAAGACAGGGACTATGCCTTCTGTTTCTTGGTATCTTCTAAAGGACTTTGTATATAGTAGGTCCTTAGTAAATTATGTATTGATTTAACTTTTGAGAGGTTCCATTGTTTGTGAGGAATCATAAAAGCAGTACAAGGGTTCTATATAGTAATTAAGCAACAGGTTTTATTTGTAAGATTAAAGAAACAAGTAAAAAGATGGCAGGTGGCAATTCACAGAAAAAGAAACAACCAGTGAGCACGTGAAAGACTATCAAATTCTCTAATTAAAAACAAGTTTCCTTCCTTACATTTGGTTAAAACTGAGAAAAGAAATGGTAATATCTGGTATTGGTAGGGCTGTGGCAGGCATACAGTTTACATAACCACCATCAGAGTATGTGATTGTCCATGTCATCACACCCTGGTCCCATCTTCATTTGGTTTTATTTTTTTTAAATCTTAGCTGATTTGATTGGGAGGAAATGAACAAGAATTTCTTTATTTGGAATTTCTTTGATTACTTCTAGTGTTATTAGTAACTTAAAAAAATTTAGGCCAGGTGCGGTGGCTCATGCCTGTAATCCTAGCTCTCTGGGAGGCCAAGGCAGGTGGATTGTTTGAGCTCAGGAGTTCGAAACCAGCCTGACCAAGAG